AAGCAGAGGAAGGCGATGGCAAAGCAGCTCTGCCTCTCGCCTTGAAAGCCCCTTGCTGGGGTTGCCATAAGTTAGTTGAGACTCGATAGGAGATATGTATGTTTATAGTTGGGTGACTTCCCTAACACTGGCTATTCCATTGGGGATTGTCGCTGTCCTTAACCACACTTCTCTCATACAGATATTAACTTTTTCCTCCTATGCAATTCTTCACCATCTCCACTGTTGCAATGTCAACATTGGCTTGAGCAGAGGGGTGTCCCATGTCCTGTTCCCAGCCAGCCAGATGCTTGTAAGGCTTGAATTTTTGCCATCTTCGTGGTTGGCAGACAAGCCTTCATTGCCTTTTGGCTACACAATCCTGTTCCTCAGAGTTGTTGGGATGATGAGCTGTGTGCTGTGTTCCCCCCTCTTTTTCTTATAGCCTGGGAGCCCCTTACCCTAGGACTGAGTTTCCTGCTTACTGCACCAGCAAGCCTTCCTCCCAGGTTCGTTCTAGAACATTATGAGCTGCAGTCAAGAAAGAGGCTGAGCCACGATGGAACTTGAGGCGCCGTTCTAGCAGCTGTGCCTGAGCCAAGCTTTTCTCACCCTGCACTTCCGGAGGCGAGCGTAGTTAGCCCAAGTTGGGTAACTGCAAACGGCGGCGCAACCTCGATCTCCATCTGTTTGGCTAACTCTGCTCCAACGTTTGCCGAGCTAATTAGCCGTGGAAGTTGTGTGGGCTGGTGTTTTTTTGTTTTTTTTAAATTCCCCTGCACTATTAGTCACTCTCCTGATGGTTTGTCAGGATTTAAAGAGTTCAGTGTAGAAAAAAACGCTTTGCTTTTATCCTCCATGAAACACGGAGCATTCTTGCAGATCAGAGCTGTCTGTTCAGAAGGTCACCAGATTGTGCTGTGGTCCTCCGGCAGAGCATTCTCTAGGATGGTGAATCATCTCCCCCCCCCCGGGCATAGTTCTTTGCTTCACTTATCCCTTGCCTCACCCAGTGAGTTTCCATAACAGGGTGGGAATTTGAACGTGGGTCTCCCAGATCCAAGTCTGACACTTTAACCACTACTCCGCACTGGCTGTCATTCTTGTATGCTGCAAGAATGCTGCCTTGAAATACCAAGTTACCACCTTGGATGTGTCTGTCGCTACAGGGATGGAGCCAGGCCTCAGCTGACGGATACAGAAAATCCCCAGGGTATTGCTGTTACTCACAGAGCATGGACCCATGGCTGAGCATTGAGGGTCAGGACAAAGAGGGGGATACCAGGAGCTGCACTAAAACGGAGCTCTCCTCTAGTAGAAAGGAAGGGGCTGACGGAGAAAATGCACCTCTGCACCTCTGAGCATAGCAGTGAAGCAAGGTTTCAGTTTTGAATTAGTGTCGTTGTGGACTCCTCTTAATTCCCGTTCACCCAGTTTCTCCTTGATCTCCCACACGCTGCTTCTTCCCCTTTTTTGTGGAACTTTGTTTTGATCGAAATTGAAATTCAGAGAGGTTCAGTAAAATTCCAGAATTTTGCTGTGTAGATGCTGAGAGGCAGGCAGTGTTTCCCCAGACCTTCCAGTCCCTCCTGCTAAAGCACCACCCTGTGATGCCTATCACAAGACAACTGCAGGGGCCGAAGTTACAAAAGGGTGCATTGGTTTATCTCCAAAGAGAAACAAAAAAGAAATCCCTTCTTGATTCCTCCTTATTCAATGGCTGTTATCTAGGAAGTGAATTTTGGAAAAGGAAATCCCACTCTCTGTAACAATCCTAAATTTTATACAGAAAGGAGCTTTCTTGGGGAAATGTCACCCTTGGCAATAAATGGCAGGGTGCGATATTTTTCTACAACTTGCTAGTTGATTAATGAAAACTGATGGGAACTATACTTCAGGGAGAGAAAAGGAAGTGCTTCAAACAACTCACGGCCCTAAAAAAGGAGCAATGGCCTTTGGTTTAGCCAGTGTGGTGTAGTGGTTTAAGAGCGCGGATCTGGGAGAACTGGGTTTGATTCTCCACTCCTCCACATGCAGCTGCTGGTGAGACCTTGGGTCAAGTAAAAGTTCTTTCAGAGCTGGTCTCTCAAGGGCAGTTCTTGAGAGAGCTCTCTCAACCCCACCTACTTCACAAGGTGTCTTTTGTGGGGAGGGGAAGGGAAAGGAGTTTGTAAGCCACTCTGAGACTCCTTCAGGTAGTGAAGGGTGGAGTATAAATCCAATCTCTTCTCTTATCAGCAGATTGACAGAAGAGGAGAGGTCTTGGCTAGGAGGGCTAAGTGGACCCTCCTGAGTTCAGAGGTGCTTTCATGTCTTGTTTCGGGGCTGTCCTTTGGGCACCTGTCTAACCCCCCCCCCCGAAACTGAATGCCAGGTTAGAGGGCCCGTGTGTCAGCAAGCTGCCATTCTGTTTTCTGTGACCTCTGTGTACATATCCTTTCCCTGTTGCACCCGGCTTGTTTTCTATCATCCTGCTCCTGCGTTGGAATGCACAAGATAACTGCTGGAGGTTGTGTGGGGGAGAAGATGCTGTAATGCTTGCCTATTGCTTTTCTCATGAGTCCTGCACCTGTGTTTTGTCTGATGTTCTGCCTGGTTCCCATGGACTGGGCGCGCAACCGTTTCATTAGCCCGCCAGCGGGAATGCTATTCATTGGATCTGTATCTGTTTGAATTTCCTTTATTATGCTTGACCTAACTGTGTATCCCCAGTTCTAACAAAGAACGTGTTTGAGTATGTCTTCAACGCTTTGAAATAAATTTTGCTTTTCTTGAAAACGTGGATTTATTCTCGATGCTTGGGGATCCAACACCGTGTTCTAATGCTGCAGGGCTGCTCTTGGGTCTCTTAGGGCAATGGTTAGGAGCCCCTGTAAGGGCCACCATGTTTCATTTTTGGAGGGGCCTGCTGCTAGGGCACTTCGGTAGAGAACAGGGCATTCCCCCCCCATCTTTCTTTGCACACAAACTAGGAGGTGCAGCAGGATTGTTCTTGGCAGGGGAGTGTCAGCTAGCTGCCATTGTCATTCCGGTTCCTGTTCAGTTTTCTTCTTTCCCCCCCCCCCCTCGTTCCTTGTTTACTTGAGTTATGTTTTGTAGTCAGCGGAACTCGCCAAGGTTGTGCAGCTGGTAGTAGGAGGGAAGCTTCGCCTAGAGTGTTTTGGGTATCTAGCCTGTGAACTGAACCTGTGTTGATATTGTAGAACTGTTACGTTCCCATGCAATGGGCGCGAATTGTATGTTCTATTCCCGCCAGCGGAAAATGGGCTCATTGGTCCTGACCTGGTTCAAATGTCTATATTATGCCTTCCCTGGTCACCTGTAGTTATTCCTAACAATGTCCTGTTCTGGTTGAACCAACGCTTTGAAATAAACCTTGCTTTGTTCTTAAACGTGGAGTTATTTTGAATGCTTGGGATCCAACAGGGAGTAGATTCCTCTGCTGCTACAACCCTGACTTTGTTCCTTGCCACAGTGCACCTTCAGGGGCTCACTCTGTTTCCCCATTCCCCAGGGTTGTTGGTCAGCTGCCCACTATCTTGGCTTCAAAGGTGTCGCTCCTTCTGGTCACATGACTGTGATGTCAGATGCTTGCGGTGCCATGGGTTCTGTGCTGCTGCCTAGGTTTGCCCTCCTCCCAGGGGATGTGCTGTGACAGTGTCCCGTGTTGTTCAGATGTCTAGATTAGCTTGCCCTGTTCCAAGAGCTACTTGGTGAAACTCTTAATCCTGTTAGAATCTGAGAGAGGGACTAGTAAAAACACCTGAGGGCACTGCTACTACAAAGCACCCATTCTTTTCCTTTGGTTGTATCTTCAGAATAATCTGGCTTGGTGTGCAAAGGCAATCGCATGCTGAAGAAGCCTTGCGGAACTAGTTTCAGAGCAAAGATGGGTCAGGAGGAGTGCGAACATAGCTGGGGGTCATAGACCTATAAGAATAAGGATAGAGCAGGTCAAGAAAGAAGTACTTTTCTCCCTTTCTCACAATACAAGAACTCATGGGCACTCCATGAAATTGCTGAGCGGTCGGGTTAGAACAGATAAAAGGAAGACTCTCCTTTCCCCGCCCTTTTCTGATATGTAAATACTGTATCTTTTTCTTGGGAGGGGATATATTACTAAAGTTTAAAAATGTTTTTAAAAATGCAAACAGCTGATTTGTTTATACACCTGGGCATCACAGCCTGAGAGAAGAAGAGGAAGGGAGCGGTTCTGGCCTCGGCTATTATCCCGTCAGCAACTAAGGCGGGGGGGGGGGGGGGGGGGGGGGGTAATGAAACTGCAGCAACACTTCTGTTTTGCAGCTGAATGTGTGTGTGGGGGGACCTAAGTGCAAAGAAGCAGGGCAGGGGGACACAGTGACCGAGGACTCGAGCTGCCGTGTAGTGCCATTCCAGCGGAGACAGGACATGTGTCTCTGGAGCGGGGCCATTCTTGCTCACCCCCAGTTGCTTATGGTAACAGCCTGTCCCTTCTGGCTCTTTCAGAAAAGCCCTCTTGTCTTCCTCTGGGCAGCAGCTCCGCGAGCGATCCCATGGTCCACTGCCCCTCGGCGGCCGTGTGCATCGGGATCCTGCCCGGCCTCGGGGCCTACTCGGGAAGCAGCGACTCGGAGTCCAGCTCAGACAGCGAAGGCACCATCAACTCGGCCGGCAAGATCGTCTCCTCGGTATTCCGCGGCAGCAGCAGCTTCTTTGATGGCCCGTTGTAGGATTGGCTCCGACTGCTTCGATGCTTGGGTGGGAAGCCTCATCCCCACCCTTCCTTTCATCCTGGCCATCCTCCACGCGGCCGACATCATCCGCCTCTATTTTTCAGATAATATCAAGCAGCATACCGAAGCTGTCTTCTGTGGGTGTCTCTTTCCTTTAAGACTTATCTTTGGTTCTGGGGAGAAGTATTGTTTTTATTGTATAATTGAGAAGAAGTAGATGGCCATGGTGCTGTAGCCGAGTTTTAGTGTTGCATATGATTAAAGAAATCCTGAGTGTGTTTCACCCGCCCCCCCAAGTTAAAATCTTGGATCCTGCCAGCACTTGAAGCCTTCCTGCGGCACTTGGTGGTGGTGGTGCCTCTTGTACGGATCGGTGGTGGCCCAGCGGCTCCTCCAGTGCCTTCCCATTTGTGTTCTGGGAACTTTTGCGAACTGTAGGGCTCCTTATTAAGACCAGGAGCAAGGCTTTGCTCGTGGCCTGTGCTTCCATGTACTCTGCAAAGTGTGGGAGCGACCACAAAAGCCCAGGCTGATTGTGTGCATGTCTGTAGAGCAGCCGTCCCCAACGTGGTGCCCACTTTGTTCTTCCCCCAGGCATCTGTTCTGTAAACCAAAGAGCCAATCTTGGGCTTTCCTGTGTGAAGGGGCGGAGTATAAATCCAATCTCTTCTCTTCTTCTTCTTCTCTTAATAAGAAGCCTGCTTTTAGCTGGCACAATGAACTGCGATTGCCTTGGAATGAGGATGTCTCCCAAGCACTGGTCTGCCCGTGAGTGGCAGAAGACCGTGGAGCAACCAGACTGGGGGGTGGGTCCCATTCACAAAGCCTGAATGCAGCCATGGGACATTGTGAGGGAGCCTCGGCAGCTGCTCTTCTCGTTCTGAATGTGAGTGATACAGGGATAGGCGTGGCAGGAATGTGTTTATTCAGACATTTATACCCTCTTTCTTTTCCCCCACGGGGATTCGAACCTCAGGCTCCCTCCCAGGCTCCACCCTCTCCAAAATCTCCAGGAATTTCCCAACCCAGAGCTGGCAAGCCTAATTAAGGTGGTGGGGGGAGGGGGCAGAATCTGCGACTCATGGGGTAGTTCAGTTAGTTTAAGTACCCATAACAAAGGTGAATGAGGCTCAATTTGGATTGGGCTGTGGTGCTGGCATGGGGGGAGGGAGGGTTTATCCCACCGCAGGTTCTTTTTGTTCCCCTCACCACAGCTGATGGCATGGGGGGGGGGGGAGGAGAATGGGGAAGCTCTTATTAAAGGCCCAGCATTCCTTCCAAACAAGGGGGGTGTTTGCAGTTGCCCTTTAGTACAAAAGAGAGAGGAAAACTAGGCTTAACCCTCCCCTTAATAAATCAGTACCTAACCAAGATGAGTTTACAGGAGACTGCATGTGTTTGGGTTTGTGTATCTAGCCCAGATTTTGCTTCCAATAGGCCAAGCTGGAGGCGGTATGGCTGCCAGCTTTCCAGTGGACTTGTGTAGCTGCGCTTTCCTCAACAGCTTCTCCGGGAGTCAGACATCACGGAGGAAGCAGATGGTCTAGTGGTTAGAGTGCTGGAATGGGGGTGACGAAAGCACTGCTGAGCCGTGAAGTGCCCTGGGGGGTGACTGACCCTGGGCCGGTTGCTCTCAAGCTAACCTTGCATGGTCGTTGGGAGGCTAAAACAGAAGGGCGAGAACTTTCTGCCCCTCTGAGTTCCTTGAAGAACAGGCAGGAGAGAGATGCAACAGAGACATATATTTTCGTAGCATGTGGAGAGAAAGAGAAACATTCTCTCCCAGCTGGGCAAAATGTCACTTCCTAATTGTTGCCGCTGGAAAAATCGGCAACCTTGCTGGTTGGTCAAGAGAACAGGATGGCTTCAGGCAACTCGAGACTCCCCTAAAACAAAAACACAAGTTGTTAACATCAGCTAACAGGCAGCATGGTCTGACTCGGTCTCTCTGTCTGGGGAGAGCAAAAAACAAAACAAAACACTAAGTTGAGTTGCACATTTCTAATTTGTCTCGGGGGGGGGGGGAGTAGATGGGGCTGCAGCCAGCTTCCACAGGCTCCACACATTCTAACGAAATGTGAGGAAGATGAATTGGCAACTGTGCTGCTAATCAAGACGAGATACACACCCACATTGTGGAAACACATCAAGCCAAAGAGAGAACTCAATGGCCATTAGAGGGACTGGAGTTCAGTTTAGGCTTAATAGCCGTAATACCCTTAGGCCGGATTTTAATTATGGAGTCTGTGGCTTTCTGTGCTTTTATGGGCCATTAATTTCAGAGGGCATTAGAGGCAGAGGGTGCATGGCCTATGCTGGAGCATTTGTCTTTGGCCAATCGTGCAGAAGAGGGGAATTTTTGGCAAAGTGCAGCCTCTCAGCCTGGTGAAAGCACAAAATGCGGCAGCCACGATCCCCTTGCTTTTGAAAACTTCAGGTTTTTAAAGATCAGGCAGGGGTTTGTATCGTAATCTCATAGGAAAAACACTAGTTTGTGTTTATTCCAGCAGCACTTTGTTGCTTTGAACGGGGGGGGGGGAGGGCTGTGGCTCAGCAGCAGAGAGCATCTTCTTTGCACGCACCAAGTCCCTGCTGTGGTCCCTGGTAGCTCCAGTGAAAAGGATCAGGCGGGAGGGGAAGTGAAAGACTTCCACCTGAGACCCTGGAGAGCTGAGTAGACAAGACTGACCTTGAGGGTAGAAGGTCGCTTCGTGTATTCAGGTGTTGAGGCTACAAGCAAATGCCAGCAAGTGGTGGTTCAGTGTAGCCATAGCCCAAGCTTTACCTGCTATTTCTTTTCTGCTTGTCAGTCTAAATTCACTTGTGCCACTTAAGCACCTCTTCAGCCCTATTAGTATGCACATGCCAAAAAGAGAGAGTTCCAAATGCATGAGTATCTGGTTTCCTAACATGAATCACAGCCAAGCAGAGAGGTTGATTCACAACTGCATTTCAGCCTTCTACTTTACAAAGCACGTGTGATTTCAGACAGACTAGGCATGGGAGCCTCGGCCAGAAAAATATTGGAAACCTTTTTAGTAGTGCTTTACTAACCTATAGAGATCCAGTTTGGTGATCTGGGAGAACCGGGTTTGATTCCCCACTCCTCCACTTGTATCTACTGATGTGACTTTGGGTCAGTCACAAGCTCTGCCACAGCTGTCCTTGAAAAAGAGCAGTTTGTGTCAGTGTTCTCTCAGCCCCACCCACCTCACAGGGTGTCTGTTGTGGGGAGGGGAAGGGAAAGGAGTTTGTAAGCCGCTCTGAGACTCCGAGTGAAGGGCGGGTTATAAATCCAATCGCTTCTTCTTATACTTTACACTTTAACCTATACTTTGGCCACCCAATGAGAAGGGAGCACTCACTGGAGAAGACCCTGATGCTGGGAAAGACTGAAGGTAAAAGAAGAAGGGGATGGCAAAGGATGAGATGGTTAGACAGTGTCATCGATGCAACGAACATGAAATTAAGCAAACTCCGGAGCACGACGGAAGACAGGAGGGCCTGGCATGATGTGGTCCATGGGGTCGCGAAGAGTCGGACTTGACTGTGCGACTGAACAACAACAACACTTTGGGGAGGGGGCAACGATCAGAGAAATGTTGCTAGATCCACTTTCACAGAAACTTTGGTGAACAGCATTCATGCACCTGGATGCTGGTGAAAGCCGACAACTCCCCGTGTTTATGCCCTGACCTGGATGGCCCAGGCTAGCCCAATTTAATCAGATCTCGGAAGCTAAGCAGGGTTGTCCCTGTTTCACACTTGGATGGGAGACCACCAAAGAAGTCCAGGGTTGCTGCTTTGTATAGGCAGGCAATGGCAAACTGCCTCTGTTCGTCTCTTGCACTGAAAACCCTCCAGGGTTGCCATAAATTTTCCATCACCATTCTTTTGATTACCGTCCAGCCAGAAGTGGAGATCTTCTGAATTTAGAAGCTTGTCAGCTGGGCCTGACAGGCCCATTCTGCATCTAGCATTTTTTCCGTTGTTTTACCAAACCCACACTGGAACAGAAAAAGATGCAGCTCAAAACCACATTCAGATATCCCAGTCCAACCCCCCTACTGACTGCAGAGTCACCCCTGAATGGCCATAAAACAGCCATAAATCTATGCAGACGGCTACCATAAAACCGAGAGATCAAACGAAGTGAAAGCCAGCATGCAGTCTGGACACTGCCATAAAATCCGACAATCCTAGTGAAAGTGACATGCAATGTAGAGGGAAATTTCTGTTCCAGTGTGGGTTTGGTAAAACAGTGGAGTGAATGCTAGATGCAGAATGGGCCAAAGGCATTCTTTTACTTTGCCTGACTGGAATGGTTGACAAATGCCACAATCCAGCACAAAAGGGAAGTCCACCAAACCAAATGGTCTTAAGGGTGCTTATCTCTGTCGAATGTTGGACTATGCGTACCCTTTGACTCTGAGCAGAAACTGCCATTTCAGAATCCTGCATCTGGGGCTGAATGCTGTGCAGTGTGTTCAGGTTGGGCCTGTGAAATTATTTAGCCTTGGCCGATCTGCATTCTCTTCTCAGTGCAGTGCAGTGCATTGCTGGAGGTGCATTAAAGATTTGTAGATCAGGTGGGGAGAGAGCATAAGTGTGCACTTACAGCATCACTTTACCTATATATTCAGGTGGGGTAGCCATGTTGGTCTGATGCAGCAGAACAAAGTTCAAGTCTAGGGGCACCTTTAAGACCAACAAAGTTTTATTCAAAGTGAGCTTTTGTGTGCAAAGCACACTTCTACAGACTTACCTATGTATGTAAGTGCTGCCAAGTTGCAACCAACTTATAGTGACCCCAGTAAGGGGCAGGCAAGTGGGAAGCAGAGGTGGTTTGCCGGTACCTTCCCCTGCAAATTAACCTCCATCTTCCCTGGTAGTCTCTTCCCCAAATTCTGAGGCCCACCTTGCTTATCTTCTGAGACTGAGCTATGCCATGCTGCCTTCCTTCCCCAACACCACTTTAGTAAGGTAAAGGTTTCCCTTAGACTGCCATTTCAGAATCCTGCACGTGGGGCTGAATGCTGTGCACAGTGTTCAGGTTGGGCCTGTGAAATTATTCAGCCTTGGGCAATCTACATTCTCTTCTCAGTGCAGGGCATTGCATTGCTGGAGGTGCAGGTGGGGAGAGAGCATAAGTGTGAACTTACAGCATCACTTTACCCATATATTCAGGTGGGGTAGCCATGTTGATCTGATGCAGCAGAACAAAGTGTGAGTCCAGTGGGGCACCTTTAAAACCAACAAAGTTTTATTCAAAGTGTATGCTTTCATGTGCAAAGCACACTTCTTCATACTTACCTATATATGTAAGTGCTGTCAAGTTGCAACCAACTTATAGTGACCCCAGTAAGGGGCAGGCAAGTGGGAAGCAGAGGTAGTTTGCTGGTACCTTCCCCTGCGAATTAACCTCCATCTTCCCTGGTAGTCTCTTCCCCAAATTCTGAGGCCCACCTTGCTTATCTTCTGAGACTGAGCTATGCCATGCTGCCTTCCTTCCCCAACACCACTTTAGTAAGGTAAAGGTTTCCCTTACTCGAAAGCCAGTCGAATCCGACTCTAGGGATGCGGTGCTCATCTCTGTTTCCAAGCCGAAGAGCCAGCGCCGTCCGAAGACATTTCCGTGGTCATGTGGCCAGCATCACTAGACGCCAAGGCGCATGGAATGCTGTTACCTTCCCACCAAAGTGGTACCTATTTATCTCCTTGCAATTTCTTGCTTTTGAACTGCTAGGTTGGCAGGAGCTCTGGGGCTAGAGATGGGAGCTCACTCCGTCATGCAGCACTTGGGTCTCGAACTGCTGGACTACCAACCTTCCGGTCTGCGGTTCGGCGCCTTAACCACTTGAGCCACCGATAAAAGCAGAAGTTATCCTATTATTTACCAAACTTCAAGCCACCGGTAAAGCAGAAGTTATCCTATTATTTACCAAACTTCTAACAGCAAAGATTGTTCCCTTTCCCTTGATC